CCCCCCCCCCCACACACACACACACACACACTCTGCGTGTCGCATTAGCAGCTAACGGGGACGCAACATGGAGGAAGCTCGCTTTGTCGCGCCCCGGGTTTGGGTTAGCTTGCTAACGTTAGCCGCCGAACCGTGACTGAGGATGCACGCGCGTGTTGTCTCGCCGCCGCGGTTCTTCGAGGAGCAGCTTCGTCGTTTCACGCTCGAAACTTCAGCGCGTCGCAGGAAAGCTGCGCCGGAGACTCGGCCTCGAACTCGGTGTGTTCCAGATGTGTTATAAACAAAGAGCCCACATGTGCAGGGCTCTGACTGCAGCCGACAGCTGTTGTGTAATATTCAGTGTTTTATGTGTGGGACACACCTGGGACACACTTTGCACAGTGTCACAAGCAAATAACACAGGACTCCAGCCACTGCAGAATAATAGTATTTAATTGATTTCATGTTTGTACGATTGTCTCAAATCATTTCTCTAGCCACGATATTTCGTTTCTTTGTCGTATGTCAACACAAACTCAAATCATTTCAAGATGTTTGACTCGACTCATGTCACAGTTTGTTTATCGACTACTAATAATGAAAATAACGCCTCAGACAGAATCATCAGACGCATCATGGGCAGTGGAGTAACAAGAGGATATTGCTTTTCTTTGTTGTACATTATTCCAAACTCAGTATTTCATCAGACTGTTGCACCCACAATGAATCCCACTCTCCAATGCTGTTCTCTCCTCTCTGCCACATTGATCTTGACGTTGACCAGGAACCTGCTGGTCCCTCGGTCCACCTGATGAGTATGAGCCTGACAACAGAGCCCTCTAACGATGGTCCCGCTGTTACAGAAGGTTTTACATATTACTTCCTAACATACATTTCTCTGTATCACTTTGTCCTTTGTAAGCTGTGTCCACAGTCGAGGAATGGCTGAAGTAAAACATGTCAACTAAACTTTGTCATCCATTTAAAACTGAGCTCAGAAATACTTGTTTTCCATTCAGAAAGTTCAAACAGCCTTTTTTTAAAAAAAAAACTCTGCCACAAAGAGAATGTTCAGTGTCGACGTCCGGCAGCTGTTTAAATCAGTGGATTTCCTCAGGAGCCTGTGTTTCTACCCCAGAGGTGAGCAAAATGACTTCGCCTGAGAAGAAGGAGAAGAAGGCAGACGATGTGGCGGAGGAGGAGGAGGAAGAGGAAGAATACGTTGTGGAAAAGGTCCTGAACCGGCGAGTGGTGAAAGGGAGAGTAGAGTATCTTCTCAAGTGGAAAGGCTTCTCTGAGTGAGTGCATTTGGAGACTTGTTTTAATTGTATTTATACATAAATGGGTTCTGACATATTCTGGTTGACTTATGTCATTATTGCTTTAAGTTGTCGTAGCAAAGAATGCAATGAAACACCAGCAGGCGACTCAGTTCTGAATTAAATGCAGGAATGCTGTATGTTTTATGTGCGTAACATCTGCAGAGAAGATAACACTTGGGAGCCAGACGATAACCTGGACTGTCCAGATTTGATTGCAGAATTTCTGCAGTCCCAGAAAACCGCTCACGATGGAAAGAGGAAGGCTGGAGAGGCAGAAGGAGACGAGAGTAAATCGAAGAAAAAGAAAGACGATGTAAGTCCCAACTCTCTCTCTAATATACATTTGTGATATATATAACAATAATAATGCACAGGTGGAAAACAAATAATGACGTCAACTTCTATCTCCAAAAATAAAGTTGTGCTTTCATTATTATTTATTTAAGATCTTAGATGAAATTATAAACTCTCTCAGTTACGCAGCGTGACACATTTTTATTAGCAGAGAAGTTAAAAAAATAAAACGACCAGGAAATTATTATAATTCAAAACACAAACAATCCATTCACTGGTTCAAGCTTTTCAAATGTGACGCTTTTCTTTGACTTGGATCAAAAGTGAAAATCGTTTGGTTTTGGGAAGTTGAGATTTGAAGAAATCGCTTTGGAAAATTGTGAGATACCTTCGTTGTGAGATAAGTCTCAGCATTTTATTGACAGATTGATAAATCGAAATCGATATGTGTCAAAAAAGTTGACGGAGAGGCATTAAAAGAATATTTAAAAATAATATAACCCTCATAACCATATGAGGGAACAAGCCCAGAACAACAAGAATCGTAAAAGTACGTTCACATTGATTGGAGTTGTTTCGTTTCGTGATCCTCAGACAGAGAAGCTCCGGGGCTTTGCTCGAGGTCTGGATCCAGAGAGGATCATCGGTGCCACAGACTCCACAGGAGAACTCATGTTCCTCATGAAATGGTTTGTGTGAAGCCCTCGACACAGGAACCGTTGAAAAACTGCTGGAAAACCAGTGGCTGGATCAGTTAAACTGTCTTTTCTGTTGTTGCTCGTGCAGGAAAAACTCGGATGAAGCCGACCTGGTGCCGGCGAAGGAGGCCAACGTGAAGTGTCCGCAGGTGGTCATCTCGTTCTATGAAGAGAGACTCACTTGGCACTCGTATCCGACCGAAGACGAGAAAAAGGAGGACAAGAACTAACACAGGGCGGAGAAAGAGAATTTCACTGTACTTTCAACAGGGGAGGGGGCGGCAGAGACAAGCAAGACACCACCGGACTCATTCGTCTCTTGGTGTAGTATCACTCATTTGATTCTACTTTAAACCGGATATAGTCTAAATGTATATAAGCTTCAGGTTCATCTGAACTAAGACAGTGTACGGTCTCGGTATCCATTCGAGTTTTAAAGAGTCGTCCGACTATTTCAGTCCGGTTTTCACAGGATGTTTGCTCCAGTGCTCGGTCATCTTGCTACGACGTGGAATCTGAGAAGTTTTAATTTCATTATTGTGCCATTTACTCAGTTCACCGGTGCTTTATGAGAGCGACACTGTATCATCTTAGCTGTTTCCTTAGGACTTGTTTGGTGTACGGTTATGAAGTCTCTCTTTCAGTGAGTCGTTCAGTCACTGGCAATCTCTGTAGTGTTTTTCATTGTCTTGCTTGTCACTTTTTGAAAATAAACCACTTTTTGTTACTGTGCTGTTTCCTGCTCGTGTCACTTACAACACCGGATTAAACCCAGTGAAGCTGCAATTGCAGATTCTTTTCATTTGAGATTAAAACGGGTCTGTAAAACATCAGAATAACCATCAACGACCCAGAACAACTAAAAACTAATTTCCAGAACCTGGAAACGTCAAATGTTTGGTATTAACTTGTGGAATATGTTTCTTTGAATTATTCAATTAACTGTCTTAATTGTTGCAGCCATATGATCCAGTTCTTATAATAAATGTATGAACACCTGAAGCTCCACAGAACCTGAAACATGGACTCGTTCTCTGGATCGAGCTTCTTCCGCAGCTCAACTACTGGGAACCAGAACACACGAGTCACAGGTGAAAATAAAAACACTTTATTAATCAATAAAAACAATTCTTGATTGCCAGCAAATATCTCAAAACAGAAAACTACATCCAAACTCAAAGCAGAGGGTGAGACTGTGATGGAGACATTTGACCAACGTCTTAAATCAGGACAAACAAACATGAAAATATTTACATAACGAGACAGACGGAAAAGAAAGTGCACTAAGTAGTAGCAGTACTAAATAGTTGGTGCTGGGTTACACTGAAGTGAATGATAACCAGAGTTTCATGCCTGATAATCACATTTAATGGACATTTCTCTTTCTTTCAGAAACATTTTTTGGACATCATCATAATGTAGCGTGTTCCGCTCGGCCTCTCGTAAAACATCCTACCCTAACTTCTACCTCAGCTGCGACGATTGACCTGTTTTACTTTATTTTATTTTTTTACAGAGGGTGATGAAACATACGTACTGACGAACATCATTCAAATAGACAAGTAATAGCACTTCTACTTTGAGAACGCGTTTCTTCGCTTCTCAAAACCTTAAAGGTGAAGATAATGAGACTGTGAACTCTAAAAGGCATTCGACTCAAAGTGGCAACGACACACGCCGTCGTTTCACGCATTCAAATAATTTTTACCTCACAACAACTTGGCTCACTTTGTGGGTTCAACACAAAAAAAACTTAAAAACACAGGACTCAGCCAAACAACTTGGCTTTACAGCAGTTTAAAAAGAAATCGCCTCAAGTGGCTTTCAATTGGCAAATAAAAGGGATGTCGCTAAACCACAGCAACAAGTGTTTTAAGTTAATGCTCAAAAAGGCATCGCAGAAAATAAATAAATCCAGTTTTGATCCGTGAGAGTCGGCGGTAACTCCTGGCTCGTCACGGCATCTTATTCTTGACAATGATTACAGGCTCTGTGCAAAGCTTTCAAATCAACAAAGAGGATGTAGACTTCTATGTAAAGCTGATGTGGCGAGACCTATAACCTTGCTTATACTACAGATTATGAACAGTTAATAAGAGCCTTCCTAAACCCAGCTCCCGTATTTAAACCTGCGGCGAAGGAATAGCGACAGACACGGCAAAATGCATATAGCCAAGCCTTTTAAAAGACAAATTACAGTGCTATGTATAATTCATAAGGAAGTTGATACATTTTGCAATGCAGTGTGCCTCCTCCCTAAAACATACGTCTCCTCCTCTTGCAGGACCTTTTTTTAAATCAGTGGCCAACCCGGGAAACACTTCAGCCTCCGACCCTCTCTCGTCTCAAAATCCGACTTCCTCCCATCAAACCCAATCTCTTTAGGTCCTTCCGGACTCAGACGCCGCTCGCTAACCGACTCGAGAAACTGGGATTTGCGATTCAAACCTACAGAATAAAGAGTGCAGTGTTTGAGCGTTTCAAATGTGTTCAGCTTCATCAAGACGCCCGAAACACAACCTCTGTACAGTATTCAATGACGTCCTCAAACACGATGGACTTCCTTTAGCCTTTGGTATCTGAACTCCGACCACTGACGCCGCTCTGAGCCTGAAGATTTGCAACATTAAAGCTTCAGTGAAAATCACTAGAAGTCTCCAGGGTGGGATGCGACCTGTTCGTCCTTTAAAACCTTCAGTGCATAGCTTCTCCTTGTCGACAGGGTTCTTTCCTCTCAACACCGGTCACACTACCAATCTTCTTCATCCTTAGTGGTTTGGTGCAAAAGGATCAAGAGCAGCTAACATTTTTCTCATAGCTCGTTTTATGTCCTTTTATATTCCGCCTCTCCTCGCTTATCGTCCCCCCCCTCCCCGTCCAAATGATGAAACATCAGTACTCAAACGAAGAGCTACTTCTGCGTGGAAGTTTTTACAGGAAAAAAAATGCAGGAACAGAATGAAAAGGGAGAAACTTACGCAGGAAGAGTAGTCAATGCCATTTTTCTACTCAACAGAATCTTCTTAAAGGAAAAAGGACATCTCTCTTGCTTCTGCAGAAATCTTTCTTACTGATTTAGCAAAGTGATAGAATAAACAGCAGTTTCTTCCCCTCACTTCTTTTTGTCCTTCTGTTTTTTCTCTGGCTTACGGTTCTGCTCAGCAGCCGTCACGCACCGGGGCATGATCAGCACGCTGCCGTCAGCGCTGTACTGCAGCGAGTACTCGCTGGGAGGATAGGGCCGGCCCTCCTCGTCTCGTAGCTGAGTGAACACCTCCTGGTACAGACTTTGCATTTTCTGCTTCATCTGCCGGATGGAACGAATGAACTCCATCTTCTCCTTCAACAGCCGCGCCTTGTTGCGCCTCAGGTCTTGGACGCCCTGCTCCAGGTTAATGATGGTGTCCAGTTTGCGCTTGCGGCAGTTCTGGGCTGCCATCTTGTTCTTGCCACGCCTGCGGATGTCACGGATGAGGGCGAGCTGGGCTTCACTCAGGTGGTGCTTGGCGAGAAGCTCGTTGAACTCTTCAACAGGCAGGTTGATGATCTTTTCGTTGGAGAAGGGGATTTTCATGGACCGGGCTCGGCGTTCATCGCGACTGGCGTGCTTATCAAGCAAGTCGTGAGCAGGCTGAAGCTTTGAGCTCGCTTTGTCGCGGACAGTTTTCTTCGCGGTTGATATGGGGAGCTCCGGGTGCTCGGTGAAAGCAGAGGAGAGCGGCAGGTTGTAGGTATGATTGTGGCTGATGCTGTCGAGCTGAGGGAGGCTATGGAACTGGGAGGGGTCCTGATAGCTCATACGGCAGAGCTTACTGTACCCGGGCTGGTAACCACCGACAGCACCTTCCTCTGGCTCAACAGTGGCTACCTCAGAGTCAGTGCTGTATCCCACAGCTCCTTCCTCAGAGAAGGTGGCAGACGTTGAGGAGGAGGAAGCTGCAGAGGAGCAGGAAGTCTCCGAGCTGCTTGGCGACGCCGGGCTGTGGCTGGAGTCCAGGGAGAGACCAGAATCGGAGTCAAGCTCGTCCTCCAGCTGGGAAGCTTGGGCCTGGCTGAAGCCCTCCTCCATGGCAAGGTCCAACAAGCTGATCTCATCGAGCATGGACTCCTCCAGCAAGGTGCTGAAAGGATCGGGCAGGATGGGTGTGGACGTAACATTGCTACTGGAACTGTTTATGTGCGGAGGAAGAAAGATCCCTGTCAGGTTAGTGGCTCCAAATGTGGAGTTGATGTTGGTGGAGTTGTTGGAAGAAAGTCTGAGCATGGGGGTTCTGGGGGGGATGCTAACAGAGTCCAACTGGGGGCTGAAGATCTGGGGGAAGTCTTGGCTGCAGCTGGGGAGGGAGGCCTGGTGAAGACTGACATCTTGGTTTATCGGCGTCGGAGGAGGAGCGAGTCCAAAGTTTCCTGTCGTGTTGGATTCGGTCGTCTCAGTTGTTCCACTAACGCTGCCGGAGTCGGTTTGGAGCGAAGTGTTGTTCACTTCCATTGCCTTCGAACAAGAACATTTTGTTAATGTACAAACATAATAAAATCTGTATTTCCCCTCTTTTTTAAGATTATGAATTCAGACCGAAACAGTAAAGACACAAGCTTTCAACCTCATATTGCATTTTTTAACCTGACTGACTTGTTTTGGATCAACTTGACTAATTTCCCACAAAACAAATGAAGACAGAAAAATACTGAGATTAGTAAACTGAGGGACATACTTGTAGCTCCATGATGGCCATGATGTCCTGCCACTGCTGCTCCAGGTCTAACTGTGGCTCCGCTGGGGGCAGCTGTGGAGCCAGAGGAACGGCCTGAGATGTCGACGGAACTTCATCAGTGGTAACATTTATTTCTGGAGCGACGACCGGGGCTGGAAACTGATCGGAAACGTAGTCATAATTAATAAGATGTAGTTTTTTTTCCACATTAAAACAAAATCATAATTACTTCAATGCCAGCATGTCGTGTGAAAATAAACTAAACTTTTGTTTTTACCTCAGATTCTTCTCCAAAGGGGAAAGTGGCCTCCAACAGCCTCAGACATTCTTGTAGAGACAGTGACGTCTGTGATCCAAGACCTGGGAGCTAAGTATTGACATTAAAATAGTGTATTAATGTTATATAAAGTACTGATACTTTTACAGAGCTGTCACAGTTATATGCTCCAAAAATAAACAGGTTATCATTCCCCATAACAATCAGAAATATAAGCAATATAACAGTTTAAGAGTTGTGAATACAGACGAGCTGTTCTGCGCTCCCCTGGTTTATTTCTGGAAAATTCCCACTCATTTGTTCCATAGACAATGTTACGTGACTGCGGCTCCTCTAAAGCTTGGATCAGCATAAAACTCACCTGATTAACTCATTAGTACAACAGATAAACAACTGCATTAGGGGCAGACAGGTGCTACTAAGAGTTATGAGCGCCGCTAAAGGGGGTGGAAGCGAAACAGTGACGAGAAAACTAAAATATCTCCAGCTGGAATCGGTTCACTTTCAAATTCTGGGTCAGTTCTGGATAAAAAAATTAAAACAGAAATACAAAATGGAGAAAACACAGAAGCCCCCCCCCCCTCTCTACAGTGAGTGGTCAGCTGGTGGATTTAATGGTAGTTTAGCTTTTTGAATTTAAATCACATCTTCTGTTGCACAGTCCCATTATGTGCTTCAGTGTCCTGAACAGACACACTTTCACAATCTTACATTATTAATCACTTTCATTGTTAATCAATATTATGTGTATTGACCTACTGTCCTTTAAGTCAGACCACTCTTTACTACAATACTGCAAGGAGAGCATGTGCTTCTTTATCAGAAACAAATTTCACTGATGGCAGATATCATGAATTCCACAGATACCAGCGCTGGGTGCGCTGCCTGTGCACGGGTCAGGTTTACCTGAGTTCCATGTGTGTGTTTGTGTGTGTGTGTGTGTGTGTGTGTGTGTGTGTGTTTCTGCGTCCAGTGATTGTTAATGAGCTGTGACATCAAGCATCCAAGTGTGATGATGATGGTAAAACTAGAGAGTATAGCTCAGCTTGTTAACACTCTAAAAAGTGGGCCTGCATCAAACTGCCACAGCTTGAAGTGTCTTTATTTCACCTTTCGCTATCTGAGACTCATCGGGGTGATTCTATTACACGCAATCTGAGCAACGCACAATGTTTTTAGGCAAATGGGGAAAATGACCAATCTGGGAATATCTCCGCATGAGTAAAACCTAATTTTTCAGCAGACAAAATTATCTTTTATCACCAGCCTGCAGCTCCCAAGTCGCCAATTTGTTTTTATGTGCAATAAGGCAGTTCGATGTACCACCCCCCAGCTCTTGAACATGAAAATCCAGTTCAGCCACAAACCTGCTCTGGAATGCTCTCTCCAGTCTCCCCGTCTACTGGCTGAGCCCCTTGGAGGTTGACTCCATTTCTCCAGCTCTCCTGCTCCTTGTTCCTGTCTTTGCTCTCCTGCAGGCTGGGCTTCTCCTCCTCGCTCTCCTTCTGACGGTTGTTGTAGTTGAACACTTCTCTTCCCGCGCCAAGGTCGATGTCCTGTCGCCACAGGATGTCAATCAAGTCAATGTCCTGGAGAAACGCAAAGCAACCATTGGAAAAAGATGGCCCAGTATAGACAAGCGTCACTCATACAACCAGATTTTTGTCAAGGCGAACATACTTGGCCTATTTATGACAACATGTACTTATTTGTGATAATAATAAAGCACATATGCGGTTTATCTTTTATACAAGCAGTTCGGCTTTTCATCTCATTCGAGGGGGTAATTTTGGAAGGAGGGAGAGGCAGATCATGTAACAGAAATATGGTCAGATGATGCAACCATGACATAAACACTTGGACATGGTGGTAAATCATGTGATCACAAAGAAGTCTCCGTTTATAACAGTCCAGCAACGACTAGCTTATATAAAAACAGCACAGATGTAGTTTCCTTTGTGTCGTACGTTAAAGAAGATGACCCTTTGCTTTGAAAGCTGATGACAACATTAAATGTGACCAGCTGTAGTGAATGTGACTCAACTGGTTAATCTAAAAATATCTGACACTGATAGAACAGATCAGGGGTGTGGACCAGGAAACACACGGGTCTGTGCTGTTCCCTCAACTTAATTCATACTTTTCTAATCTTTAAGGGATTTAGTTTGTGATTTATGTCTCCGTAGATGAAACTGTCTCTTTGCAGGAAACAACAAGATCAGATTGGTGATTCAATTCATCTTTATGTCCTTTAAATAGTTTTTCTCAGTTAACGACAGATTTGTGTTTACCTGGAAGAGGATACGTTTAAAAATGACCTACAACCTGACATTTAATTCCTCCAGTGCTGAGTCTGTTTCACCATAATTACATGATAAAGTCCTGTTTTTGACAATGAGCAACCTTCGCCTGCTCCTTGCAACAGATGCTCTCCAGCTGCAGTCAGTACCTCTTTTGTGAGGTCGTCATTGCCGTCCCTGCTTCCCTGCTCCTGGTTGCCCTCCGGGGCCACGGCTCCCAGGCTGCTGTCCGCTGCGTTCAGGTTGTAGGTGGATTCAGGTGCTCCACTTCCTCCCCTCATGGCCGGGGTAGCGTCAGGGCTGTCTACGTCCTCTAGGCCGGCCCCATTGTCCAGGGTGATGGTGGCGCTGGACTGGCTGCTGGCGGACACCACAGTCTCAGAGTCACGGTGCACTAGCCAAGTGTTGAGCTCGGTACTGGGCACGGAGAGGCGATCCAGCTGGCGCACCTGGTTCAGCAGCCGTCGAGTGGTGAAGAAATGGTCGAGGTCCACACTCTTTGGATGGATGCCATAGCCGTCCAGCGTGTTGCGGAGGTTGTGAAACTGTGTCTGGGTGTAGGCTGAGCTGGGGCCCAGGATGATCTCTCTCAGTGGGGGGAGCTGATTGCTTAGGTAGGTGTCAACGTCCACCCGCACCCCAATGAGACTCAGAAGGATGGTGAACTGAATCAGGCCCTCTGTGAAGTACTTTTTCAGGTAAAGCATTTCTTTACAAAGTCACAAAAAGGTGAAAGTAAAAACAAAAAACAAAAACGGGGCCGGCTACCTTGGACTAACACTCCTGCGCTCGCACTAGAGGATGGAGACGGACACAGGAACATGAAAAGTGAACGGAAACAGTGAGGGGTTGTCTTCTGCAGGAGTTTCAGATCCAGGTCTCCACTGGAGTCCAGCTGGTGCTCAGAGCTTTCCTCTTCTTCATAAGGGTCTCATCCTCTGGTCCCTGGGGAAAGTGAGAGAGAGAGAGAGAGGACATTGGATTGACTCTGCCTGCAAACTTCCACATCGCGGTCACACACGTCAGCTCTTACCTTCCTACATTTAGCACTGAGCACATGTGGGATAACACGAGGAGAAACGAGGACTAGCTAGCCCGCTGCGGCCGCTCCATCCTCCCGAGGCTGGGGAAGAGATGTCGGCTGGAGGCACGCAGTCGTTCTTCATTGAGAGGTGGAGAGCGCACAGGCGTCACCCCACCCTTCTACTACTTCATGTGGGCGCTGCTGAAGGTGAATGAGGGAGTCTCCGGGCTCCGGCTCCGGTCCCTCCCTCCCTCTCTCCCTCCCTGCGCCGCTTAGCGACGTTAGCTCCGCGGCTAACTTGTGTTCTCAGAACCCGTCGACCCCCAACAAATAACCCGACCGGCGATAAAAACACGTGTCGCCATGTTTGTTCATCTCTTTACAGCTGTTGTGGGTTTGTGTTTTTTTTTTTTTTTGCAGACTGACAGGAAGCTCCTCATCCACAATCTCCCTGGCAACAAGTGGCGAAAAAGCTGAGCGACGGTTCCCTCGGCCAATCGCAGGCCCCGAGCGCGGTGACGACACATGACTCCAGCGTGCCCCGGCCAATGGCGACGCGGCAAGGGTGGGGTCCCGGGGAAACGCCGAATTCCTATTGGAGGTCTGCGCGGTGTTAGCATCGTTAGCTCCTGTGCTGCTAACTACCGTGACAATCCCAACTAGTTTAAAAAGTCGCCCGGACAACGCGCCGCGCTGCGCCCGCTCATGCTCGCGTCGACGCCGGGCAGCAGCCGCCGGTGTCCGGGGGAGCGGCGGGTCCGTGACACGCCCGTAAGTAAGTGAAAACCTCTTGATTTCATACTTACGCCTGGACAATGTCTTCATGGCAGAAAAAAAGTCCGGTTTCGCCTGAGAGCAGCGCTCACACCCGGTCAGATGAGCAGTGGCTCGGTGCTGCCCGGTTCTCCTCGCGCTGTGGCCCGGTTCTCCTCGCGCTGTGGCCCACCATGACTTGCAGAATCGTTAGCTTGGCCCGGCTAGCTTAGCCGCTTCACATCGAAACACGCCGCCACACTGCGCATGCGTAGAATATTCTAGTGGCCAGCTCTCATCAGCTGTTCCACAGAATAAATAAAAATAAAATCTGACTTTCCCCCAAAAACACTCACAGGAAGTTCAGCCTCATCTTCCTCCCAACTAACGAATCAAAGTCATGAGAAGAATAAAAACACAAATCCAGGTTATAAAAGTTCATAACTGCATTTAAATGTGTATTTACCAGAAAGTACAAAGTATTTTGTTGTTATGTGTGTATTCACAGTAAACATGGAGCTAAAATCACCAGTCAAACGTCCTTTTTAATGTGTAAGATAAGATAAATGAGTCAAATAGAGAATAAATCAATTAGTAATAAATCAATGGCTTAAATTCAACACATTTCAATATATAATTGCATTTAAATGTCAATAATAAATTCACCACGGCTAAATAAACTGAAATTGAAGTCAACTTTATTGTCATTTCTGCCACATGTACAGGAAACGGACGACACTGATATTCTGCTTCTCTCTGATCCGCGGTGAAAACAGAGAAGCAGACAGAACGTATAAGAACTTAAAGACAAAACAAACAAAGATGAAGATCTCAAAACATTAGGAGAAATCAAAGCCTGCATCGAGGTCATTTCTACATATTACAAACATATTGGGGATTTACTTGACAATCATTTTTGTCAGTGATCTGCGATTCTTGCCCTATTTTATTAAATTAGATTTAATCTGTTAGCACCAAATCACAACACAGTTTATTATCTCAAGGGCACTTCATGAGACGGAAGAAAATGAAACAGACCAAACAGTTTCCCCTGAAAAGTGATATGTTAAAGGAGTTTGGTGGTGATGTCACTCCCTGTTAGTTTCGGGGTTTTCCTCACAGCTCTCATAACGTCCGTCATCAGCTGCTGTTGTCGTCTTCGGCCGCTTCTCTGCTTCAAAATGTCGTTCTTCTCTTCCTTGACACATCTGTCAGCCATATGTTCCAGTATTTTAGTGCAAAACTTTAAAGCTTTTGTAAAAATGTAAAAACAACAACTACAAAGTACTTTAAATTAAATACCACTTTTATTTCTCCTTAAAGATCATGACAAAATATTTTTTTGTGAATGTCTGGAGTTCATTATATATTAACGCCCATCAGGTTCACAGGTCTGTTGTTGTATCGCTTTGAAATGTCGGCTTCAATCTGCAAAAACAAAACACAGTTGACAGTCAGAGATAATATTAAGGCTTTGACATGTACAGAATGAATTCTCTATGTATCTGTAACTCCTGATCTCATGACAGGTGTTGAAATTTGATCTGGATGTTTAGGATGAAAAAGAAAATGCTGCTGGGAAATCACCAACTGAGTGAGCACAAATAAAGTGAAACAGAAATCAGACACCATTTTCTGGAGTTCCCTGGTGCACCCTGCCAGCAGGTCGACACGAGGCTCCAGTCGGGACTGCTCCTCCAGCGCTTCCTGTCGCTTCTCAACCATCGTGGCTCCTTTCAGCACCAGAATATCTGCCTGCTTCAGCTTCTGTCTCAGCACCTCCGACACACGCTCAACATACCTGCACACGCGAGGATTATGAGGAGAGCAATTAGAAAAAAGGCACACGTGTAACAACGCAGAGGCAAAACGAGGATTTTCCTCCACAGTACCGTGGCGAGGCCTGGATCATAAACAGGTGCTGCATCCGGAGAGTGGTGAGCCGGCCAAGAAGGTCCTGCACCTGAGACAGCATCTCCCGAACGTGCTTCTTGGTCTGGCCTTGGATGATGGAAGGAGCGAGCTGGAACTGGCTCATCGACACCACGTCTCCCTCTTCTCCCATCTCACTCATGCGCTGGGTGAGGAACACTTCCAGCTGCAACAACAAAGGAAACCAGCGTCACTCCAATCAAACGTCGCCTGTGACACCACGTTTATGATTAGACACTAAACGACTGGTCTCTTTACCTCCATGAGCTCATCAATGAACTGGCTGCGTGACTGAGAGTTCTCCAGCAGAGTTGCAGCATCTTCCCCCCGAGCCACGCCCTCAGGGCCTACGAGATCATACACTCGTCTTTAAGCAAACTGAATTTTCCACAGCTGAGAGTGAGGTGATCTAACAAAAACAAAGAAATACTTACAGTCTGTTCCCACGTCTACAATCTCAATTTCTATCGGAGCAGCTTCACTGTCGCCCCAGTCGATACCGCCGGCACCAGTGTCCTGTCGGGGGAGATCGATATTTGAGGCTTCGCAGCCTCTTCAGATGTTTTCAGACATGAACTCAAGAAAATGTGAAAAACCAGCAGGAGATTGTCCCAACATTCAGGCGAGGGGTGGAGCCTGCGTAGAGCAGGACATGACGTATAAATGGCTCTGCAGAAATCAAGTGAAATGAAGATCTCAAATCTCGTCATCTTTCCAAGATGATGTCAGCGTCTTCTACGTGTATCGCCTCCTCTTCTTCACCCTGAGATATTTGAATTTCTCGCTCGCTGTGAATTTTTCGGACATTTCCCTGCTGCATGTGTTCACTCTGACATTTTACAAATGGGCTGTCAGGAAAAGCGAGCGAGCAGCTGACTGGGATATTTGTGTTCTCACATATGGTGGTGTCATACCTCAGAGTTTGGCTCCACACTGATACCCCAGTCTATACCATCCTCGACAGTGATGCCAGAATTAACACCGGCAGAGTCTGTTCCTTTGCCAAAGTCGCCCCAGTCGATCTGAAGCATTAAAAGAAAATATATCACAGGGGATTTCGTTTACCTTGGATCTAACATGGGACGTTTTGGTAACATGATCCGGGTTAATTCTCGATATAGAGTCGGTGAAACTAACCATGTCGTCTGTGGCTGAGTCAGGAGGAGCCTCCTCTGCAACCGGCCTCTCAACAACTGTGGGGACTTTCCCCGTTCTCCACTCATAAAACGTTGTGTTTCCTCTTGTCTGGGCCAACGTCAGCATGGGCAGGACTGGATCAGACCTTCGAAAAACACACAAAGAAAACAAAGAGAACTGTGAAAGGGTTTTCTTTCTGTATTTATAGTAAGAAACGTATTTGTGTTTATTCCAACTCATTAAATAATTACTTTGAAACTCTCTGAATCAATTGTAGGTCTGAGTTTCACAGAGAAACAGAAGTGCAGAGAATCAGACAGTGACGATATACTCACCACTCACACACAAAGTTTGTGAAAGCGGCGTAAAGTCGGATTTGCTCCTCTAATTTCCCTGCGTCCTTCCCGACTTCCTCGAGAACGGCTGGTAGATCTTTAACCAGAGCCTGGAGCTCACGAGCCACATTTTCTCCCTGACAGAAGAAAAATAATGAGTAAGCCGTGTAAATATCGCAGAATCTCCGTGTTTGTGTCTAAATATTCGCGTGTTTGTACGTACGGTGATGCCGTACTGTTTGCACGCAGCATAGTATCGCTCCCTCAGGTCCGCAGCTGAGCTCTGACACTCCACCTCCCTCCTGCTCAGCTCCTGCTGCAGCTGCTGGGCTTTGACCAACTGCTTCCTCAGAGCCGGGCCTTCGTAGCTCACGTTGCGACTCAGCAAACTGGCGACCTCCGCTGTTCCACGCAAACAGAAGCATTAATTATTAAAATAGTTATGTACAGGCAATTATTCTGTTTCATCAGCTTCAAATAACCTTCATACTTTATTAAATATAGACAAACGATAAGTCAGACAGTGTATGCAGATGTTGCCATGTGACTTTAGATATATGACATATGGGGTTTTTCTTTATTTAATATAAACTTACCCAGATAGACGTTATCTGCTTCATAAAGAGTCACAATCTCCTGCCAGTCCTGATGCAACAAAAACATAATCCACAATTCAAATCCAGATTTTCTGATTTTAAGAGCAAAGGGACACATCACAGAAAGATTTCCAGACAACTGGGTTTGAGTCACTAATCAGAAAGGACTGTTGTACTGTGAGACAGACGATAGACTCACCTTCATCCTCTGAGACGAATATCTGCCAAAGATGTTTTTGGACGAAGCTTCTGTTCCCCTCAGTATCTCCACGATTCTCAAGCAGTGGAAGTAATGAATGTCTGTCAGTGAAAACACACAAGTGTCAGTTTGTAATATTTACACAGAGGAAGAGGTGGAAAGGTTCACAATGAATACTCATATTAATACACTGCAACAACAACAATGCAGTTTCTCAAACTGCAACTAACACACGAGACAAACGTTCGGAGGTAATGAGCGACGTACAGGAGCCGGACAGGAGCTGCTTGATCTCCTGGTTCTCAGGCATGTCCTGGATGGCAGCATTGATCTTCTCTCTGATTGTTTTCACTGCACTCTGCCACTTCAGGTTACAGTGACGTCGGTCCAGCAGCCAGTCTGTGCACACAGAAGTTTAAGTTCAACAACAACATCATTATCATTTATATGAATCCTCCGCAAGTAAAAAGACTCTAAAACAGAAATATCCTTCAAATGGGATTTCAGTGTAGATGTGGTGAACCGCGCAGAGTTTTTCAAAAACAATAATTAGATTCATCTTAAAGGATAAACTAGTGATTCAGTCCAGTTTAGAAAAAACACTGCACTTCAGTAGCTTCATGATCTGATCGTATAACTTCAGATGTTCACTTTAGTTTTGATACGTGCAATTTTACTCATATAGTAAATTTACACAACCAGTGAACCTGCTTGTTTGTGCAGCTCAGATGATTTACTGTGATTTATACACAATAACGTCACAGTGGAGAAACACTCACATGTATTTTCTACTTCAACAAATCTTAAAAACTAAGGAACTGAGCAAAGGGAGGATGTACACAGTATTATTATAGTACACATATATATTATTTAGTGTTTTTGACATTCACATATGACAGAACAGAAAGTAGCCTGTTGTATCACTCACCCAGGAGTTTGCTGCTCTGAATGTCGATGGGCAGGTTTTGAATATTCTGTTAAAGGAAGAAAACACATTTAAAAAGATAATTTTAATTTCTCAATAATCCACATTGTCCACGAGCAGGAGAAGAACATTTTGTCCTTGTGTCACTTTTTCAACGCTGCAGCTTCACGGAGACATGAACACAACACAACCTTTATTCCTCTAAAACCTTGTCCACGTGTATATTTGAGTATAATTCCACTTTGACGCAGCTAACGTCAGCTGGCAGCTGTACTCCGCTCAGACGGCGGGTGTCTCCTCTCACCTCCATCGTCTCCTCACTCTCTGAACCAAACACGAAGAAGATTCTAACGTTTCCACGTCTTCATGTTCAAAACCAGTTTGGTTTAAAAAGCTTTTAAATCCAGAATCAATAACCCGGAACAAGGAGCTCACTGTTTACGACACGTTACAGGAAGCGGAGCCAATAGGAGGAGGCGATGTTACTGAGTGATGGCCGCTGACCAATCACGGCGCAGCATGCTGACGGCTGCAGCTGATTGGCCGATGTGATTGAATGCAGTAATAAAGGCGGTCAGCAGAGGGCGATGTCGGAGGAAGGTTATTTTATTGTTTTATTTATTATTT